CAGCGAATGCTGGCTGGGGAATTCTGGGAGTTGAAGTCCGGACATCTTCAAGTTGCCAAGTTTGGGAAACACTGCTTTACAACATGCTAATTTTCCTTTTTAATTTTTTAAAAAGTGTACAAAGCTGGAAAACCTGTCAGATATTAACACGTTGATTGCCTTGGATGTCACACTAGGGAGAACTGCTTTTAGGGTTTCTCCTAAATTCCGAACATTCCATTTTGTGTCCATCTTGCATTCTGAGCTGTCAGTTATGTGTTTAAGGCAGTGTTTCTCAACCTTGGCAAGTGAAGATGGGTGGACCTCAACTCCCAGAATTCTCCAACCAGCATGCTGCCTGGGGAATTCTGGGACTTGAGGTCCATCCATCTTCAAGTTGCCCAGGTTGAGAAACACTGGTTTAGGGCAAGGGTCTCCAACCTTGGCTATTTTAAAACTTGTGGACTTCAACTCCCAGAATAGGAGTTGAAGTCCACAAGTCTTAAAGTAGGCAAGGTTTGAGACCCCTGGTTTAGGGCATAGTCCTGATTCAAAAAATGCCTAGGTTTACTTAAGGAGCGGGAAATGATTGGTTCCTATTCCAGTTGCTTCTGGTGTGCTTGATTTAGATTTATCAGCTTCACCTGCCTTAATATTTGCAACAGAAAGAAACGAAACCTTTGTGGAGATGATAGAGAAAAGAGGGATGTTAGCTAGCACCTCATCATTCAAACTATTTGCCTTGCTTTTCTGAGCTCGTAACAAATTGGATATATTGAGGTGAATGAAGAGGACATGGTCACAGTTAGCTAGCCATGTAAGTAGAGCTCATAAGGTCAGGTTGATTATGGCAAGCTGGGTGGGAAGCTCCAGAAAGATATGAAAGATTTCTAAGCTCCTTGGTCCTATCACTGATGCTGATCTGCATAATGATGTTAAATGAGGCCATTACCATATTTTATGGGGGGAAAAGTATTAGGGAGCAGCAGAATTAATTAAGAACTTTGTTCTTGGCCACTTCAGCTCCCTGTGAGATCTAAGAAGATAGACTTTGGTGTCTGGAAGGGGGAAAAAATTAAATCTTTGACTTGTTTGTTTGCTTATAAAGAAATGTGGAAAACAGCCGGTTTTCTTTTTTCCACATGAGACAGAAAGAAAAATGTTCACTGATGTTGAACCAACACTGAATTATCTTATGCTGATAAGCCCAGGGCCTTCTGGGGTATGGAAGTATCAGTCCTGTAGAGCAGTGGTTCCCAAACTTGGCAACTTTAAGACTTGTGGACTTCAACTCCCAGAATTCTCCAGCCAGCTGGCTGGAGAATTCTGGGAGTTGAAGTCCACAAGTCTTAAAGTTGCCAAGTCTGGGAACCACTGCTGTAGAGCTTGGTCAAGTTCAATAACACTCAGATCCAGGCAGTTGGGAATTTTATTGTGCAATTGTTCTGCTTTGTTCATAAATGGTTCCAAGAGTCCTCTTCAATTTTACACCTCCTGCGTTTTCCATGTTGTCTTGTGGTAAGGCAAGACAAATCACACAATCTCTTCTAATTGAGAGCACTAGGACTTCCCCCTCGGGAAGTCCTTCTTCAAAAAGGCAACTGGATTGTCTTGTTACTGAAGAAGCTTCTTGGATGAGAAGTGAAATGTTTACAAAGGGAGGGAAAACAAGGAAGTCCAGTTGCCTTTTTGAAAAAGTAACTTTGGGACAACCATGACCTGGATGAATGAGACTCTCCATAAACATTTGCCCATTGGGGAAATACAGTCTACCTCCGTTGGTTGCTAACAGCATTTCTGTTACAGTAATTCTGTCACTCTGGGTTGGCATTTATTTCTCTAGGATTGTGGTGGAAACCGGAAAAACCTTAGAGATAAAGCAAATCGTGCAACACAAATATTTGACTTGAAGATTCAATTTAAGTCAATTATACAATTTCAACATCTTAATCCGGAAGGAT